CCACACCACACAGGGCATCTGGCCCCACAGCCAGCAGGACGAGGGGAGGCATGGGGTGCTCTCCCGGGCTAGCAGGGGAACGCCTGGCCGGAGGGATCAAGCACACTGCTATGACCGTGTCGGTGCCCATTCCAGACCTGAGGCGTCGGTGTCTTCCCAATCCCTGCCCAATGCAGTCACCTCCACCTCCTTTGGCAGTTTACTGCAAGGTAGGTGCAAGCAGGTGGAAGAGGAAGAAGAGCAGTGTGAAAGTCATGTGTAGCTTTCAAGCGTGCTACTTAGATGCTTAGGCCTCCAAACACTGTATTTTCTTAGTTCAGACAAGATCATAGGCTTGCAAAACAAAGCCTGAACAATTCTTTCTACCCCTTACCCTTTACATCAAATTGTCATTTATCAAATGATACAAACTGTTCACTGCTCAGCAGTGAAAATTCAAAAGCCTTAGCAAGTACTAAACGGGTAACTTTTAAGTCTTCACATTAGCTGTTTGCCATAAAAACAAGAGGGACCTCTCTGAAACTCTTCCTCCAATCCAGCAGCCCTACTGTCCACACTGCACACTTGAACGGAAAGGAAGGGAGGAAGAAACGAGGGCTTTAACTAAATCTCCCTTAATCTACCTAATTCTGCAGCTCACGACTGTGGCATGTTCCTACTAGTCAGAAGGGAAAAACTTCATTCCAATTAAGATTCACCAGGCTAGGATTTTCATAAGCCCACGTTATCAGGTCTGAAGAATCTGTACTGAGGAAGAAATTAGCAGCCAGGCCTGCCCTTCGCTAACCTTTGTATAATCCCAGCTCCCCCCTCGCAGGCTACTGCCTCGCCCCCTAGCAGCAACATTAGCTGCGGCAGATCTGACTCAGCACTGAGGACAGTTTTTGTCTTGTTACAAGGCTTTGCCCTCATCACATCTCAGTCTCTAGCAATATAAGGACAGGGGACGCGTGGAAGCAATGGGACGGGGTGGGGGGAACCCCACCAGAAAAGAAGAGGTCTTAGGTCAACACTACTCAGATCAATGAGAGGAAGACTGGAATCTACCAGGCAACTAGCAGGACAGTTCAGAAAAAAAAAATAAATTAAAAAGAAGTCACGTAAGAGTTTCTGAGGGAAAAACTTATTTTGTGAATTTGCTGAAGATGCAAAAAATTGTTACAGCAGATCTCTGGGGCCAGGTCAGTCTTTTTGTTCCATTTATGTCCTAAAGATCTGGACCCTAGTCCTTGGCTGGCATCTTCTAAAAGCTGCTGGGATACCAAAGCCTATAGTACCACTTAAGAGATAAGAAAGCGGTGAGAACTGTGCATATAGCTTTGGCTATTTAGCTTCCAGTAGTCCCTTTCCCTCTTCAGATAAGGAGAAACCCTTTGGATCCAAACTACAAGATGAGAGCATCTTTGGCGTATCCTGAAAAAGGAACAGGCAGAGCACAAATACTCGAGACAAGAATTTATCTGCGAAGAATTCAGAGGCTAGGCTGAAGTAAAAATGTTCGCCGGTAATTGAAGCGAGGGAAAACACATTGTTTGGTATGCTTCTGCCAAAGCAGAAGTAATCCAGCCTGCCTTAAAGCAGTCTCCTTTCTTGTGCCTTTGCTCATGGAACATCTCTTTTCAGCTGAGTGCTTTTAAAACCTCATTTAGCATCTCTGCTTTGTTGGGTGGAGTCAGATTTTATTTCACTTCTGTAATACCAAATAGTTTCATTGCTGTAATGACCAAGAACAACAATAAGACATACATAGTAATTTGAAAGCCCGTGGACTGAATTTATAGCAACAGATCTTAATCTTTGCTTCACATGTTTTCAAAAGTTACACGTAACAAAAATGTCACCCTCACCCTGGACTGCTCATCCAGAAATTGAAAGTTCTATCGGGAACAGGTTTTTGGCCATGAAATCTAGTGTGGCGCACAGAATTCACAACAGCAGTCCAAGTTTTTGGGCCTTCTGGAAAAGTATGGACCTAGGGACACCTTTCAAACATCAAGAAGCTGCAGTTCCCTCATTACCCCTTAGCACCATACCAAAGGCTGTGTGTACGCCGCACATTTTATACAGACAGTGACGGAGCTGTCCACAAATGTTTGAAAACGTAAGAACTACAGAAGCGCTGGCCACCAACTCAAGCCAGTTAGGCTTCTAAACTACTTAGCAATCTGCACAAATTCACAGAAGATTTAGGAAATCAGCATCAATCCAGGCAAAAGAAAAGATGTTTAGAATAATTTGCCTACTCAGATTAAAATAATCTGCAAGCCTTTCACGCAGCTGATGGAACCATGCTTCATAGCCTGGCAAATTAAAGCTAATTCATATCGATGTAACAGGAACATCAAAGGAAGTATTTACCTGTCTTTTAGTATCCACTTAGGATTTATTAAAAAAAAATATTATTGCATTTTAAAAACCTCACAGAACCTGGATTTACAAGCCCTCAATTACACAAATTCAGAAAGAAACCTTTTATGAGCCAGAAACTTTACTGTAAAGAACTGTAAGGCTTGCACGACACTCACTTTTAGATGAATGTTTTCACGGCCTTTAACTCAGCTGTACAACAGAACATTTATTTTCCTGTGACTGAACTGTAAAAAAGCCTCCTAAAATGGAAACAGCACTTGGAATCTTATGTTTGTTTCTCCTTTTTTTCCAACTGTACTTACAAATGGCTTAGTGACATACAATGGCTTAATTTATGATTTTAATAACAACAGCCACAATGTAGCACAGCAACTGCAGATATGCCCACTTTTCATGGTACAGTTCAGTCACTTGAATCAACTTGAGAATTGCAGGGTTTTTTCCTCTGCTGATTTAAGCAAAGTTCTCATAATAACGAGTTCGGTTACAAGAAGTACCTCACAAAAACAGAATTTCAGTTATAATCGAATTCATTTAAATGCAGTCTCATGCGCTAACCTACCTTACAATGAATGCTGACCTAAGCCATGAATTCAAAACTGGCAGAGGAAAGAGGGACCAACATCTCACCTCAAACAGCTGAAAATCATTGTGTAGATGTTAATGGCTCATCTCCAATTTAATTTCCGTCCTTTCCTACTCTGTTGTAATAGTGGGTCATTAAAAAAAAAGGGAAAAAGAAACCATCCCCACTCATCTTCCCTATGCTCCTCCTACAATGGTGATTTTTTTATTTATCCAAACGATTTTTCTCTTATGGTACGTTGGTTAATACAGTACATGCTAAAATGCTGTCTCAAAATCCATCTGATATGGTCAGTAATTGGCTTACCGATACATCTCTTGTGAAACACACTCATAGAGCTCCTCAGCAGTGAATTTTATACTGTTACTTATCTAAAATAAAGAACAAAGAATTAACATCGGAATTTACCACGTATCACGTATGGATTAAAATTATACAGCTGGTGTAACAGATATGGTTAATGCATTACGTAACAGGCTCTCAAGTTGAGACAGTACAGGAAAGCGTCATGCTATATATTATAAAATCAAATATTACAAATTCACAATCATGCTTGTATATAATGGGAGGGATAGGTATCACTCCAGCTTCATTTTCTAACAATTTCTGCACAGATCTAAAAGACGTTATATTATTCTTCCTCCCCTCTTAATTTAACCTATAATGCTATAGCAAATGAAGTAAGTTCTGACTTGCATTAGTTCCATAAATATAGTCACCCAAAACCCAAATATATTTTCCTGTGTAAGAGAGGATGGCAAATTTGAAATACGTAATATACTAAATGGAAAAAATACCTCTATTCTACCTCAAACATTCATTTCAATTTCTCTTCTTAAAAATCTTTCAGCACAAATGAGTTAAAGCTTCATGAATAACTGGTCATTTCAATTTCTCTTTTTTTCTCTGAACTGCAGCCAATACTCTCCATAGAACTACCTAATGCAATGTACTTGCTTGCTCTCTTCTTAAAACAACTAGGCAGGGATATTTTGATGACTTCTGCTTCGAGACTTTTTACTCTTGAAAGCGAGTCATTCATAACAAATGAGCGCTCAGAAAGGCACGCAAAGCAACTCATATACTGGTAGAGATTCAAGTAACTTTTGGTAGGTACCAACTGAAAATGTATTTTTACGTTCAATGCCTAATAAATAAGAGCTAATCTTCAAAATTTTAGATCAGCGGAAACACAATGATGAGACAGCTAACCCCATAACCACTTTAAATAAAAACTGTAACAGAAGTGTATCAGACAAAACATCAAAGAAAACTTCGTACCTCATTGCTTATGAGAAAGTTATAGAGGGTCCAAATGTCTTGGAAACTGCTGGTTGGGGTCAAAATTCTGAAAAAGAAAAGGTTTTTTTTTAAGCAAGTATAAAAGGATTTTTTTAAGCAAGTGTAAAAGGATTCTACGGAAGAGTTAAAAAAAGAGTGAGAAGTGCTTCATGAGAAAAAATATTACTTTCTTTAAACAAAAAGAAAATTCTGATCTTTGAATAATTTTCCCTTCCACCCATCCTTTTCCACTCCCTTAAAAGAATTAAATGAGTTTATTATTTCTTTAAGGACTTTCTATAAAGGTTTTTCCTAATTAAAAATTCAACTGATGTTTTTATGAGCAATTTCTCTGTATAGACGGGAAGAAAACCAGCAATAATTAAAAGCCTTTTGTTTCACATAAGCAAAGCCTGCTGTATTAAAGTGGAGCAACAGAAAAGTGACACGCAATACAAAACTTTCCCACACCAGCTAAAGCTTTAACTCATACCCTCCGGTATTCCAATGTACAGCTCAAATGCTACACATTTACACACCATTTTTGCTACTTCTGATAATAACCAATTCCCACCCAATACTGAGAAGTGAAAACAGGGTTTGAGAGCTGAAGAGAGGTGTCCTTACAAAGAACCTAGTATCTGTGAAACGCTGGTATTTTATTTGGCCAGGAATGCACACAGCAGCCAGCAACATTTCAGTCTTTCCCAAAATCTAGTCCTTGTTCACCATGTTACAAGCGGAGATACCACCTGCAGAAGAAAGCATCGGCTTTGGTCTCTCCATGAGGTGTTGTGAAGTTCTGAAAGACGTACACCGTTTTTCAACAAGGCTCCAAAAAAGATCCAGTAAGGAAGTGATTCCCTCAGAAATTAATTATCCTAATCTATTTAAGCAGATATAATTCAGTTATACCTCAGTGTAACTTCATTTGCATTCACTAGGAAAAAACAGAACCCTCTTAAACTTTACAAAAGGTACATTAAAATCTACATTAAAAAAATATGTAACACTTTACATATATTAAGAAATACTGATAAAATTCTGCCTTATGTTAAGTTTTAAGTATGCAAATAATGATTCAGAAAATGATTGGATTTAGAAAAAAAAAATATTTAAAAAAAAAATCTTTTTGGGAAGCTCTATTTACTTTCCCATGGGAAAGTGCCCAAATTCTTCCCTCCCTCCCCTTGCAAGCTGTAAGCCTTTATAAATGAATTAATTAGGAATTGAAAAAACCCAGAACACTAACAGAGTAAGTTAAAAATCCCAGTTAAAAAAGACACTGTATTTCAAACAGGCTGCAAGACCGTGACACTCCACAGGATTTATCGTAACTAGTAAGTCCGCTGCTTATTTTCATCATGATTTTACGTAGGAATTATCACTGTTACAAAAATTAGTCACACATTCTTCCCCACTTTGTAAGAAGATGTACCCAGAATTTTTTTTCTTAAACTAAAACACTTAACCTGACAACTAAAAGTCAGCACGTAAACCAACTGGCTAGTTTTCCTAAAAATACCTCGAAGCCTTCAACTGCTACCTCAGTGAGAAAGCTATCAGCTTTGACAGCGTAAAACCCCAGCAGAGACAATTTGGCAAACAACCTTGGAAACGCCAGGAATCTTGGCAGCTTGGACTGTAGCTAAGATTCCCACCGACCGGCTCCATGCAGCCTTTAGCCAGCAGCCCTGTCTGCATGGGACAATGCATCAGCAGCTTTAGCTATCACATCCATCATCTGCAATATAAATAAATGAGTATACCCGAGCCTGGGAAACTGTGATTTCTATCGCTGATGACTTTTGTACCATTCTGCCTTCTATTTAATGCCAAAAGGAGGAAAGCTGGCATGTTTGTTTTCATAAAATGGAATGCAAACCCGTACAAAACACAAAAGTTAAGATATTACTAATAGCTTCACCTGAAGGCCGTTACATATTGCCACACAATATGCTGGGGCAAAATATGTTCATCACTGTATTTTTCCTGCCATGCCAAGGACACATATGGAAGGGTGTAGGATAAGTAAGACTGCTGCCACAGCTGAGCTGCTGGTGGGAAACCCAGCCAGGTAAGCTTTCTGTAGGAAGGATGGAGGGTGGGGGGAAAGGGCAGCTGGTGAGAGAAAGACCTGTATTAACTGTGGGCTTCTGGATTTTGTGGAAGAAAAATGTATGGATGAGCTACAAAAAAAGTGAAGGAAGAGACTGAGAGCAGAGTGGAAGGCAGGATTAAACGGCGCTGCCTTTCCCTTTGACTATACGGCATCTCCGCACGGCTACTTCTGTTCACCTGACTTCTAACCTCCCAGGGCAAAGTAGCGGCTAGAAACTTCAAGTTTCACTCCATTGTTCTTAGCAAAGCTACATTTAAAGAAAGCCAGTTTGAAAGTAATTTTCAAAGCAATATTAGACTGCAATTCCAAGGTAATTTTTAAACCCCTGTTTTTGCACAGATCTGTAATTGTACTGTGAGTATGAAAGCAGCCAACACGCCGCCTGTATTTCCTTTCCCTTCATGAACGTAAGACCATGAAAGCACCAGCATCACATACACCGTAGCTGATCTTTTCTCACTGAAGGGAGCACTTTTCCATGACTGCTAGAGAATCTGAATCTTGACACCAGTTAGGATGGTGCAGACTTAAAAATGATTCCATTGATGTTTCCCAGACTATGCACTTTAGGCAGTCAATAAGGTAACCCTCACCACTCTTCCTATTCATTTCCCATCAGGACATCAAATTGGAAAACATACTTATTTTTGTATTGGTGACCAAAGTATCCTAGCAAACAGCTAACATTATTGGTTTAGCTGCCTACAAGTACCAAACACCAGGCAGATGTACAAACCGGCTGTGCTTCTGGTTCTTTGAAAAAAAAAAAAAAAACCAAAGTAAAACATGTAAATGAGCATACAAGTAACTTAATGTTAAATCCTGTAACTTATTTTATGGCGTTTGCTTGGATTATGGCAATTGCTTCTGGGTTTATAACCTGAAATGAGAAGTCTGACATCTGGCTCAAAGCTTTACAATATCTTCAAATAAAAGTCATTTATTGTTTTCAAGGAAGAACCATTGTACACACAGAGTACTGAAAAGAAGTTGGTGACAGAAGAGCTTGCCCAGTAACTTCCCCCACAAATTCTTAACAGGTCAGCATTCATAAAACATGCTTATTGCTGTTTTCAGCTAAATAGGAACTGGAATACAAGCTCCAGTCCTGGAATATATTTTTCTGTAGAAAACTGTAACACATTCCTATCTGCAGGGCCATGATTTCACACCACTGCTGCCGTCTACTGGTTTTAATAATTTTATATTCCTTTCATCTCCTGTAGCCACCATTCTGTGTTCTGGAAAACAGAAATTTTAAGAGAAGATGTACATTGGGAAACCTGGACATGTTTGTATGCACATTGACTCTGCACCTATTACTTCACTGAATCAAGTTGATATTGTTTTCGTTGAAGTTTCTCTGAGAAAATAGTCTGCCTCAGCTACAGAACTATGTCTAGAGAACACCCTCCAAATGGGCTGTAATGTAAAACTCTTCTAAGGAGCAATCTGAATCTCAGTATTGTGACCACTGCAATATTTAACCACTGCTTTTTCTTCTCTCTCAAGATGACAAACGTATTTCAAACACAGAGGGTGGAAAGCCACTGAATCACTTCACCTTTCCTACCAGCCCAGCCATGCAAAACCAAATTACAAACGACCCCACATTATGTACCATAGTATGGGTCTGTGCAGTTTTCTTAAAATATTTAGTACGTGCGGTAGAGAAAAGCATGTCAGAAAGACAGAAAAAGTGACGATTCGTAGCAGCTACAAAACTGCAGTTAGATACTGTTCTTGGGGCAGAAGGGAGAAAGGAGAGAGGTCAGACTTAATGATTTCTATCTCATCAGCGATAGGGCTTCCCAAACCACTCAGAATGCTTCTTTACCTACTGTCCTGTCACTCATCTGATGCCAAACGTGTGCCTAGAGGGTAAGATAGGATAATAAAAAATGGAAATGGATAGGAAATAGCTCAGGATGTGGTTCCTCACTTGTGCATAGAGAAGACCTGGGAAACAAGCAAAGCCTATCTGGAAAGGATCAAAAAATTAACTTGTCAAATACAAGGAAAAAAAAAGCCAACCCACAAAACAATCTGGCAGTGAAAGTAGGTCAGCCTGCCAACTGCTCACAAACACTAAAATCCTGGGTGATGACAAGTAAAGCGTATGGCTAAAAGTCATATGAGACTACATGGTAAGCACTCTCAAATCTGGCCAAACCTCTGTACCTCAGTATTTGCCACACTGAGCCATTCCTCTTTAACAGTTCCATGTAATCGCCTCTGGCTTAAGACTGATAAGACTGTCATAAAGCATTAACCAATAAAACCCTGTGGTTAATCAAAAAGGCATATGACTTAATTGTATAAAAGTCAACTTAACCCATTAAAAGCCCCATTTAACCCCACTGTCAGAAGATCAGGGAAGCAAAAAAGATGAGAAATGGAAAAAACCAAAACTTCTATGTGGCTTACTGAGAATTCCTCATTACAGTGCACTGCAGTAAGGGACTCAAACTGGTGTTACCATGATCAACACATGCCAGAGTTTTGTTCAACATCAACCTATTGGGAAATTAAGGGTATTTCTCCCAAAATAAAGTCAAGCTCACGCTTTCTTCTATTGTGGAAGTACTTCAGATGTCAGATCCCAGGGCCCCTTTGTCTAGATGCCTATTCCCTAGCTTTACAAGGTCAGAAAGGACCATGGCTTTTATAACACCAACCCATTTGTTCAAACTTTTCTGCTTTCTAGACTGGCTTAAGCGGCTGCCACAGCATCACCTCTGCCCTTCACCTTGTTAAGCGCTGTCCAATTTCAGCTGTATTTGACAGAGGCAGGGGTCTTGAAACTTTTTAATTTCTTACATCTCTCATTAAAATAGGCAGAAGGCTAAAGGACAAATTTGGGCCCTGGCAGCAGAGAAGGCTGTAGGTTAAGTTCAACCCTAATAGGAGCTGTGAAACAATCCGTGTGTGGGAAAGGAAACACCACAATTAGAAGGAAACCTTTGTCAGATACTGCACATTTTCAACTATATCAGACAAGATAATTAAACTAAAGGATACAACCCTACAGAAAGATGAGCTTCGGAAACACTATTACTGATGCAAAGTGGTTTTTTTCTTAGCAACCAAGGGGATGTTTCTGCACTAGTGCTGACCCACAGGGAGGGACATTTCTACATACAACTCCTCTCCACAAGATGCCTTACGGTTCATCCAACCATAGTCCCGCTCTCAGCCAGTCTATGTGTGGTCAAAACGCTCTATGGAGTTAATCCCAAAACAGTCAATTCAGTGATCAGTTCTGACAGCGGGGAATAGAAGGTGACACGGAAAACACTTGTATTTTATCACTAAAAGCTGTATTACCTCCAAATATTCAAGCTAGGACTTTTTCACTACTACTTCTTCAGTTGTCTCCTTCTCTGCAATCACACCACTATATTAACTGTAAGTCACTGAAAGGATTTTTTTCAAGAATATTTTTCAAGAAAAATAAATATACTCTAAGTTCAGCTTTAGAAATGCTGAGCAACCTAGGCAAAATGAGCTTCCCTCTTACTTTTGGAAACTTCAGACTTTTTGTTTTAATATTCTGTAATATATATATAAACCTACAATGATTCATAAATATGGCTTCTGAATCTTTGGAAAACCTACTCAGAAGTCTCAAACTAACTTAAATACCTATGCACAGGCTAAAACAGATTACAGTTTCTCTGCATTTCTTGCTCCACGATGCCCCCTACTGCAAATCCGCAGAACAAACTCAGAGCAGGCATTTCCAAGTACAACCTCGCACTAAAGTTACTCTGAGAATCATCTCGGATGCATTAATAATGTATTTCAGTTTAGTGGTAGAAAATAAAATTTTAAAAAGCATGAAAGGCACTTTTAAAGCCACTTCATAAATGTTATTGAGCATCACAGTAATCACATGGAACAGATTTCATTTCAAATAAAGTCAAATGACAGAACCCTGTTTATCTTTGCTCCAGATATTCTAGTGGCTTTAATCATAAAATACATCTTTTGTAAAATAGATTTCTCTAATATTATTTTTATTTTTACAGAGCTCTCCCATATACGGAAATACGGGAGATAAGTAGCTTTCACCAAAAGAAATAAAAAATTTCTTTTGTTATAGCGAAGTTTTAATGAAACACCTCTGAAACACAAAAATAATAACCTTGAAGCACCATGGTCCCATTAAGTCTCATCCACCACATACATAAACGGATACCACTGGATTTCTTGCAAGAACTTTAGGACTGGAATGAAAAGAACCAAGTTTAACAGTAAACTGCTTTAGTAAAACAATTTCTTTCGAGAAAGTCTTACACTGCCACTACTAAAATCAAATCTCATTTGGGAGTACTAAACCAAACAATCATCAATGAAAATTAATACCAAGCTATTCTATCTCACTTTCCTATGCATATTCTTCCGTCCTTACTTTCATATTTAGATCATTTATCTTTGAAAGAAAGACAACAATTCTTTTAATGCATTTGTCCCACTATTATAGTGTGCTGTACAGAAAAAAATCAGACCTATAACTTAGGTGTAACACTAGTCATGCAGGGATGGTCTTTTATGCTCATGTGAACACGCTACTTCACATGGGTGTACTTTGAAGCTTATTTGGGACTTACAGAATATGTATTTTACTGAAACACTGTAATTAAAGAAATATTCTTTTTACCATAATGAAAAAAAAAGCAACAAAAACTTATTTGGAAGTGGTGACAAGTGAAGCAACGATTTGCATGATTCTATAAATGAAAACTACCTGAAGTTCCAGGTGAGAGAGTTTCACAACCGTGCTTCAGACTTTTGAAGTGCCCTGACAGGTCAGACCTCACACTTTACAACTGGGATAACCATACGTCCATACTTGGCAGGACTGCTGTGATAGCTATAGCATCAGGACTGTGATCCTTCAGCAAAGATTGTAATGAACACCGCTATGTACTGGTAATAGAAGTTTAAAAGCTCATTACTATGGTACAATGATAGAAAGAACACTACTTGAAAAAAAATATATACGTATTAGATAATCTCTAACAAAGCTGTAACAGCCTACAATTGAAATGTAATATACCTCAACATTTACTTAAAAGGCAGATTGTTAATGTACAGGGCAAGCCCAACCATTTCAATGCATCTATTTCACAGTTTTCTAACCTATTTGCATCATTACTATGCAAAAAAAAGTGTGCAAAATGCTGGTTTGTTCCCAAATCAAATAGCTCCAGCCACTCAGATTCACGGCCTGTAACACTTTAGGATGCTCATGGCAGTTACTGGAACTTTAACCACAATTACAGACCAGTTCCTACAAACACTCTTCGAAGTCAGTGGGAAACTGAGGAACTCCACAACTGTAAGAGTGAAAATGTAAAGCATTATTCTGTAGCTGGTGCTGCCGGTGAATAAACTTCATTGCTATAAAAAAAGGACTAAGCTAAGACTACACAGGGGATAAATTATTCCTTCTGAAGCTTCATTTTTATTATTCCACACTCTTTAAAAAAGACAACAGAGGGAATATTATCCTTCCTAAACTGAGAGTCCAGCTGATTGATTGTCATTGCTAGTGCTGCAATACAGATTTTGACCCATGAACAATACTCTAGAATTGGTAACAGTGAAGTCCCAAAACTCTACATCCTTCATTGTATTGGAAATTTGCCCCGATTCCAGTGGGCCTCTCATTTGAAAAACAAGTGTTCTGAATTATTCAAAGTTTTGCCATCAGAGACAATGTATTAGTTAATTATGTCATAGCTCCAGTTACACTCTGAGCAGAGGCAAGTGGCTCGTTATCAAAGATCAGAAAATAAGTCCCAGGTCATGAAAGAGAAAATTCACTAAAAAAGAGCTGAATGTCTGCAACAGTTTCTTACTCTTTTGCTACGAAGTAATAGTTCTAGGTAGCCTTGATACCAAGGCTTTTACTGAAAAATCATGTAACTAAGCACACATAATAAATCGTAGTTTGGCATCAAAGATTTCAGTGACTTTTATGACTTTAAGTGACTGTTACTATCACCAGCTTTTATGACTAACTTAAATACTTACCTACTAATTCCTTCATGGATATCATTCACAGCTGCCAACAGTTTCTGCAGACCTAAAAAAGCTTCTTCAAACGAAGACTTTGCAGTCAAGGTTACTGCGTTGGGGTCCAACTTTTGGAAAATTTCAATACTAATATTAAAAAAAAACACAGAAGACACATGGAAAAGCAGTTAATAAAACCTTCAAAATTCAGACAAACCCAGTATCTATTGTATGCATTGTATTTTGACTATTAAAAAAAACCCCATCAAGGTCAAATGTGTATCTATACTAAAACCATGTTATCCAAAATAGTCTTAGAATAAATAGTAGAAAGACCATGCCCATCAATTGTACTTCTCTGTTTAAAATTTTCCTTGGTGACTGTATACCATAACATTATTTTGCCTTTGCCTTAAATAGATTTATCATTACTTGAGAATGAAACAGTCTTTTCATGCACAACCTGAGTACACATGAGTAAGCCTCTCTTAGAAGAGAATTGTTAGGTTAAAGAAGCAAGATAAAGTGCTTCCCATCAATTTTCCAAGCAGCTTCATTCTCCAGATTTATTGGAATAGGCTTGACACTCTCCCTGCAATAGTTGCGTTGGGATGATGAGCTGCAGTGCACTCATGAATCATTATCCCCACAGGTGCAATATAAGGAATATTTTCCTGACATGAGCAAGAAGAGTGTGAAGTGAACTCGGATTCTAAAATGTTATCCTCTTTTCACAGCATGGTCCTTAAGAGGTGGTAAGAGCCAGCAGTTCAGCTGCATTTTCATTATAAACTGGTACAACTGAAATAGTTTTTCCTTGATGCCTATATGAAACTTCCAAATTCATGATTACTATCCCAGTAAGAGAACTGTTAAGTAAGAGACTTGTTATCTGGCACAGATCCTCAGCTAACCTGAACACCACACCAAACCATCTCCTAACCAGCTTCAATTCAGATTAATTTGCACTGGGTAAGCCCAGAGGACTATAGTACATTCAAATGCTAGCATGGGAATGGCATGGGTAGAGTTATTATCACTGTTTATTAGGCAAGTCCTTAACAGACCACCAAAAATGGAATCCGTTTGTGTTTGACGTAACTCAGTGTCCCTCCTTTGAAAAGACTTCAGATGAAGACTGCAAAAAGAAAACACACAAGACTACAAAAGGAAAACACAGAATCTATTCAGATTTTGTGATAGCATCCAAGAGCATGGCATCTCTGTGATTTTCAAGCAGATTTTTCAAAACTAACTAAAATACTAATAATGGTAAAACAACTAAGGGGGGAGTAATTTCATGCAATTTTGAGTTTAGATGAGAAAGGAAATTCACCACTAGATTCTGCATTTGGATTTCAGAGTGAAGGATTTTGCTTAATAAGAAAACTTGTTATATTTCAAATTATTAAAATTTTTTTTAAAAAGTAAATGGTTTTGCATAGGCTAGTATACTTCCACAGGATTTGGAAAGAAAATAACCATGAGGAAGCTTAAGAGCCTGAATATCTCTTTTTTTTATGGCTAAAGATGAGATTTCCATGGATGTCTCACATTTGTGGCTCTCACAGGGTTTTCAACATCATTCTTCTCAGGCAACTTACTTCAGCCACTGGCCAGAAAAAGAGCAGCAGACTAGACAGATCACCGACTGCATCCACGTAGCAATTTGTACGCTCCTAACTTCTTTGTGTGACAAGCTGTGTGATTTTTTTTTTGTCAATTTTGATTAATTAACTAATAGCTTCTCTAAAATAGGAAAAAACCACCCTATTTCTAAAGTGGGTTTGTTTGAAAATTATGTAAGGTTGTGTAGAAGTTTTTTATTTCTTTAGCATACCATACCTGTACAAGTTTATTGTATTCCATACAGCTTCAAGGACTGACCAGATTTCCTGGTGCCTGCTTTCTTGAGCTACATGAAAGCTTGGATGTGACTTTTTTTCTTCACGGTTTTGAAGATTTGGTGTTATTGCTTCCATTTTTTCACATACAGCATTTTCCGAAAGAACCATGGTGTCTTCTGATAAATCCTGCTCACTGTCTGACTTCACCTTATAAAACAGTTTAGCAAACAAATAATGAGTGTATTTGGTTCCTAACTTAAGAAAACTTGAACATTTCTACTTTTTTTTAAAGCAATGCTCCAAAAAGCAAGGCAAATCTCTTCTAGTTATAACCATCTTTATTATAGTCTCTGCATCTAAAGCATCTCTCAGTCTTTCACCAAGTCTGTCTTCTATAGGTATATATTGGTATTTCTACAGATAGGAAATGGAAGCAAAGGGAAACCCTGTGCCAAGGCTTCCCCGGCATGATAAGCTGGTATAAATGGGAACTGCTTCTAACTCTCACTCCCTATGCCACAACTTATGGCACATTTTCCTCTGCAACAGCACAAAGTATTCATCTACTCATGTGGTAAACTGGTTCAGAAAATTTATCCAGGTTAAACTGAAACTGATCTGGCACAACCTTGTCTGTATAAGGGCAGTTCTTCGTGAAGTCAAACACCTGTCAGGACCAGGACAGTAGGAAACATGTTTTCAGACAGAAAGCCTGCTTCTTACGGCAGCGCTGTTCACACAACTGCGGACTGAAGAGGCTAACGGCATTGCACACTGAAGTTACAGCACAGTAGATAATCATGACTCCCCAAATCATCCTTGCTCTCCTTGACCACCTTATTTTTCCTTTCCCCTTCAGCTTTCTCCAAAACTGAAAAGAACTTTCTACAGATATTCTGACCTGTATTCTTTCTCATATATTGAAATATTTCAAGTCATCTATGCTCATGAATCCCTTCTTTATGCCATTACATATGGAACTAACAATAACCACAAACCAAGATGCTGGAAGTAGACATACTTCCCAAAATACAAAAGGTATCAGGACACCCCCCCATTCACTACCACAAAGCACATGATACAAGTGAGTCCTTTCTTCATGTGTAGCACCAGAGCTACCAAGACAATAAAAGCTGAAATAACACACCTAGGAATAGTAGCAGTATTGGATCAACGTCAGACACAGAAACAACAATTTTAACTAATCTTAATCTTAATCTTTAATCTTAACTTAATCTTAATCTTTAAGGCCCTTTTCCATCAGCTACAAATACAATAGAAAACGAAGACATTTTGCCTGAACACAACTGAATAACCTTTTTCAGTCACCCTCCCAATACTAACACATTTGTATTAAGGTAAAAAAAAAGTCTCCCAAGCATATACATAAAGGCAGATATTTGCTACATGAAAACGAAAGTTAAATTTGGGGTCTATTAATTTTGAAAACAGTCTAGCAAAATTTCCTGCAATAACTGAAATTACAGGAATAATTTAGAAATCTAAGCCAAGTTTGTACAATGAACATGAAGCAAATTCAAGAAGATGTCAAGTGAATGAATACTAAAGCTCCCCTTACCTCTGTAAGTGTTTGGTATAGCTTATTCACTTCAGCATAAGCCTGGGGAAGTACACCATTATAGTCTGACCTTGAACTGAAAGCATGGAGTAATTTTTTGGATTCCTGGAGCAAGATACCCACTGTTGAGGAGTCAACTGTTTTATCTGATATTTGGATAGTAATATCGGAAATAATAATAAAAAAACGCATTAGATGTTTGGAGTTATCGAACTTGGGAAGCAAATTTAATACTCAAATATCTGGATTAACTGAAGCACATAAAAAGCCTTGAAAATTGTTCAGAAGCATTAGGTAAAACAGTCTCAAGAGAAACATGTGTGAGGTTAAGATTTCCCAGTTCTTAATCAAGTCTTCCAAATTTATCCCAGGATCTGGCAAGAGGATCAACTGGCATATCTAAAATAATTCCACATAACAACAATATCCCAAAAGAGGTACATCTATTAAAATCAAATTCTTAAAGACATCTTTAAATAAATGAAAGGGATTTTTGTTGGCTTTTTTTGAAAACAAACCCCCTTGCACTCATCTATCACATTAAGTAGTCTTTAGTCCCCCATAATTTATTTGGCAAATGCACACATAACACAGTGGCAAAGGAGGGAGAAAGATTATTTGCTTTTTAAAAACAGTTCAGGGACGTTGGTGACCATTAATATATATTTTTTCATTAAACTGCTTTTCCCAACTTTTGCAGGTATAGAGATGTGTGAAATAAACTCTTATATGCCTGATAGTGTCCACACATTTGCTTTTACTGTCTTTGTATAAAAAGAAAAAATCCAGCAGAATACTGATTTACAGAAAAAAAAAAAACCAAACCACCAACAAAAACATTTCATAAATAATTTTTGTGATTTTTGCGGGTGATATTTAGACCATCTGGGACCACAGCTTGGACAGACTTGATCTTGGAATAAGCTTTCTCCTTTTCTTTTCTTTTTTAATATAATTCATAGCTCATCAATTTCAGTTCAATTCTGGCTTTAAGGCTACAAAAATAGCATTGGGATTTTGTTACACATCTGGGGAATAATCTGCAGATCAATGCAAAAGGAGGTAAGACTGTCCAAGGCACGGCTCCATTTGGATAATCTTAAATTGGAAAACAAGCAGAAGAGGATGGAATACATTATTATTTAAATATACAGAGTACAGGCATTTTCAAAGTATCTACTTCTGTAACTATGAAAACCACAGTGAGGTTTTTACAAGTTTACAATTAATATTTTTAGAGATTCTTACCTGTGCAAAGGTGTTTATAGAGACATTCAATGGTTGAAAGCAAACTCCTTGGCACAACATAACCAAAAACAGCCATCCAGTGTTTTTTATAACACTTCAGCAAGTTTGCTAATGTCCATGGTGGCTTCAGATACAGTATCTGAAAGATAACATACTGTAAATTCAAAGGCTGATTTTCAGATAGACATATTCCTACACATTTCACAACTGCTCTATTCTTCAATAATGTTACGATTTGTGCTTGCTGAAGTAGAATTTCAGTGATTCCTAAGAAATAAGGCCATCTTCAGATTTAACAAGTTTATCTATTAAAAAAGATTTGATTCAATAGCATCATGGATTAGACAGAGATGCTCATGTAAAAGCGTTCGGTGTACAATAATAATCTTTCAACATTTTCGTGATTTTGGGTTCCCCTTTTCTCAAACATTGAAAATACTCTTAAATTACTTCTTAAAAATGATTTAATGTTGCTTGTGTACAAAAACCAGACCAACAGTAAATAGGCCTTTGATTTTCTTGTATTGTTAAAAAGTAAAAGTAAACACACTTTTCCTAGCCATGTATATATATACATGAAGTAATATATGCACATTACAATAAAATTTCAATTACTTACTACCAAGTGAAAACTGAGTTTGAAAACGTGTTAACAGAAATCAACTAAGTTATCTAAAAGCTTAATTAATCAAAGCTCTATCTTGTGGAACAACAGTCATCCCATGCAAGTGATTTTTCTTTTTAAAGCCACAGAGGTTTATCTGCAACAAATTGAAACTTCTAACTAACCCCTACCAGCCATAAAATGGAATCTAAATCAAAGCATGGATAATTTGAAAGTGCCTTGTACAGGAGTATTTATTTTCTGTTAAGAATACTTTTGAAAGAGTGAGTGTTTGGAGGTTCTCGTTAACACCCTTGTAATTCTGTATCTGCATTGTAACCAATTTAGCTGTGAACAATTTTATCCACATGGTATCTAAAAACATCTGGTCTGACGGGGAAGAAGTGCCTGCAACAACAGTGCCTCAATATTATATAAAACGTGATGGAATAATTTCTTGAAGGACATATTTACAGTGCAGTGATTTAACCATATTAGAAAAGCTAAAAAAGAAATGTAATGCAACTAATAAAAAGAGTTCTGAAAATTCACACTGAACAGCCAGCATCTGTGTTACTGTATTATTAAAAGACTATTAAAATACTGCAGTCATTATCGGTCAAATTGAATAATCTTGTTATAAAATGGAATAGTAAAACTGAACACTGACCTGTTCCCTGTCAGTGAATTGCTATGTTAGTGAACTAGATGACTTAGCTGTTTGGCTTAGCACAAGTACGAATAGAATTAAAATACCAAGGACATTTAAACTTCTTAATACTTGAAATATCAAGCAAGATGACATAACAAACCACCTCCATCCATAGGTTTCCAAATGCAATTTTCATCTCAGTCTCCAAAATACAAGATAAAGCTTCTCCTAAGTTCTTTTCAAGGTCTGGAAGTACATTTGGGAATTGCGCCGTAAGACTATCATCACCTCTTTCTGTTTTCTTGAATTCTGCACCTGTGAAACCAATTATTAGAAAAGCTACTAATTGGAACTGTTTCTATATCTAATTTATGTTGATAGTACACAAATAACTTGTTCCCATAAAGACAGACTGCACTTTATGTTATAAAGCAGATGGGCTATATCTAATTAGGTTTCAAGTATTTCTAGTTATACCCACTTGTACTGTGGGTACTATTAATTATAAGCTACTAACCAAGAAGATTAATTTCCCCAGAGCATTATTCGTTTGTGATCTTACTCCACATTTCTTTTTTCCTTAAATAACTTAGATTATATACAACCAGTGGGGTTATCAGCAAGTATAAGATCACCACTTCTTATTGTAAGCTGTATTTGTATCTTCAGAAAAATGAACAGGCAACTCAAGAATCAAGTTCTACTGTTTGGGATGCAAGTAAAGGATTTGGCATAAAACATAAGGAGTGATCTTAGCATACAGAATTTTACTACTACTAAGAAAGCCAGACCGGCTCAACTGGAAAAACCTCTTTTCAGTCTTAAAAAGTTCAGGACACCTTTTAAATTACTATAAGCACAGGAAATTCAAGCTGTGTTTTTTATATAAAACAAAAAAAAGTCATATTTGAATTTCCTAGAACTAAGAGATACGAGACCTTTTAATAAAGGTCTCAAACTTTCAGAAAATCACTTACCTTTGAAAACAAAAAATCTGACCCAAATAAAAAGCATATGAAAAGTATGTGAAAACTGAAGTTATAGTAGAAACTATTCTCCCTCTCCTACACTGATTATTACATGTCTCAAAAAACAGCATATGTATACATGCACATTAAACAAACCTACCACATTTTGACTGTTGCAGCTCAACACAGTTCTGATGCCTGTTTACGTTCAGATTCTGTAGAGCAGTAACCAAATCAGCTTTGCAGAATGCCTTGACCTCACTCACAATGGCTTTATTACATAAATTTTTATCATCCCTAGGAGAAGGAAATTAATTGTTGACAGAAAACTGACATTATTACATAGTAAGTAATAAAAGCAACACACTGAAAAAATTGCCTTCAGTAAGCTTATTTTGTGAGCTTCATTATATATGAAGTTTTCTTTTTCAAACAATTAGAAACAGTTCAAAAATTAAACCAGAAAACAGCCTAGAGCAGCTATTCTGGAAAAAAAAAAAAAGAAGAAGAAACACACTGAAAAATGTTTCAGGCTCTAGGTTTGCTTTAATTAAAAACCAGGTATAAATACTACAGCAGTGATGCCTGGTTGCTATGATTTTAGAATGCAAACAAGGCAATAATTCTAAGACAGTAATCTTATTTGATTGCTACAATAAATCTCCATTTTTGACACCCACTTTTACTGTTCTACTGGCCAAATCATTGTCCCAAATGCCACCCTGAGGTATACACTGCTCCAGCAGAACTACTATAAAGATGCACTACCAAGTTGGATCCTAGTACTTTCCCAAAAATCTCCATTGCTGCTCCATCATGATAAAGGGATTTTCAGATGAAAAGCACTTCTGAAGTCACCTCCTGTTCTTTACTCAGAGAAACCCAAAATCATTATCAATAGCCCTACTGCAATTGAAGTAGTATTTTCAGCAGCAACCCAATCCACACATGTCACCTTACACAAACCAACTGACACCTAGGGTCTTAACCCTACTTGCTGAAACTACGTAGGTTTTAGCAAAGACCAAAGGAAGCTGCTTACAGTACCTGTCAAGCAATATTAGCCCTTTAAAAACTAGCTTTATGTGATTTGTATCAAATGAAGAATCAATACTCAAAAGTCAGCTATTATCCTCACAGAACAAGAGTAAAAGCAAATCAGTCTCCATCTTCTCTACGAGTAAACTTCAATGCTCATCCCCATCCCCAAACCGGAAGCAAATTTGTCTCCATCTTCCCTCCTTCTAAAATTAACCCTTGTCAATGCTTATCACTGTCCCCAACCAGGTAGACAAAAACAAAGTATCTAACTGGATCTCAATCATTAATACAAATATTTTTTTCAATTTTGTATCTCTAATTTTTTTAATGACAAATCAGAATCAACTCTGAGAAAGCTACACTTTAAAAAGTTGTTAAATTGAACATGATATAAACTTAATTCTACTTCAGGCCTCAAGCACATGAAGGTGATAACATCTACGGTCTTTGTGTTTTATTGTATCATCACAGAATACCAGATTGGAAGGGACCTCAAGTCCAACCTTTTTGGCAAAAGCATGGTCTAGACAAGATGGTCCAGCACCCTGTCAAGCCGAATCTTAAGTGTCCAATGTTGGGGAATCCACCACTTCCCCAGGGAGATTATTCCAATGGCCAATTGTTCTCATGGTGAAAAATTTTCCTCTTGTGTCCAATCAGAATCTCCCCAGGACTAACTTGTACCCATTACCCCTTTCTTTTCCATGTGACTCCTTGTAAAAAGGGAGTAGTCACCCTTTAAATACTAGAATATGGTGATAAGGTATCCCCTATGCCTTCTTTTCTCCAGGCTGAACAAACCCAGTTCTCTCAGCCTGTCCTCATATGGCAGGCTTCCCAGTCCTTTGATCATCTTTGTGGCCCTTCTCTGTACTCTTTCCAGCCTGTCCACATCTTTTTTGTATAGCAGGTACCAAAACTGAACACAATATTCCAGGTGTGGCCTGACAAGCACTGAGCAGAGTGGGATAATGATGTCTTTATCTCTGCTGTTGATGACCTTGTTGATGCAACCCAGCATCCTGTTGGCATGCTTTGCCGCAGCAGCACACTGTTCACTCATATTGAGTTTGCTGTCCACCAGGACCCCCAGGTGCCTTTCCACAGAGTTGCTCCCCAGCCAGGTAGATCCCAGCCTGTGCTGCACTCCTGGGTTATGTTTTCCCATGTTCAAGACCTTACATTTGTCTTTGTTCAACTTCATAGGGTTCTTTTTAGCCCACTCTTCCATCAGGGTGGCTCTCCGTTCCAAAGCGTCCACTTCCCCACTCAGTTTGGTATCACCGGCAAAATTCATCAGGCTACACTTGATCCCATCATCCAGATCACTTATGAAGATGTTAAACAGCGTTGGGCTCAATATCGATCCCTGGGCAACCCCACTTGTGACAGGTTGCCAGTATGAAAAGGAGCTATTACCATCACCCTCTAGGTGCAGCCTGTCACCCACCGCACAGACCGCTTGTCTAGACTGTAACGCATCAGTTTCTTTAGGAGGAGGCTGTGGGAAACCATATTGAAAGCTTTGGAGAACTACAGGTAGACAATGCCCACTAATCACCCCACATCAACTGAGCAGGTTACTTTGTCATATAAGGACATCAGGTTTGTCAAGCACGATTTGCCCTTCTAGTTCAACATTCTCCTTCTACTCTAGCTTTTAAGAGGGTGATTGCTCCTCAAAAAGCTTATTTCAGAAGCAGCTTTTCATTTTAAGATATGATTTGAAAATGCTGTATTTGGCATGAGACTACCTTATACCTCATAAAAGACCTAAAACCACACAGGAACTCACGTGCAGAGTATGACAACAGCTTGAGGAAAGAGGTTCTGATACTGCAGACAACATTGTAAAACACGATCGTCATTGTTCTCATCACTCAGGCCATCTGCAAATTTAGTTAAGACAGTGCTGACATGTTCAGGAGTAACCCAACATAAGAAATAAAAACAGTACTGTGACTACACTGAAGTAAGTTTGATACTCCCCAGACAAGGACAGAGAAGTGTATACTAAGCACAAGCCTTGAGCTTTGAATTCTTAGGTACTACTACACTCGAAAACACTATGGCTTTGCCAGAAAACGTCAAGCGAACCACATGTAAATTTGAGTATGTTAGATTTTGCAATGAGCAAGGCAAAGCAAAAGCACACAACGTATCCTTTGCTCATAGGTAAAAGTAGTACTAGATGAATTTTCATTAAGTAACCCCTCACTTATCAACAGATACAGCTAAAGAGAGAAACAGCTGATAAAACAATAGTGAACAAAGCACTAATCTGAATAAGGTATTTGCATGCCTTGGATATGCACTGAAGGCTGATGTAAGCTATTAGCAAACTGCAGAGTGAAGACCGTATTAGATCCAAAATTTAGTGCTAAGCTTCACACTAGGTGAACTGCAAGGATTAAGTACCCAAAACAAATAAATTGCACATATATTACATGTTTTTTGAGAAGCAAGCTGCATGGATTGCCCCCACAATTTTGAATCTTGGTTTTTGAGACACGTGTAGATGAACTGGACTGCAGGGATAGCTTTGTCCCGAACATGCTGCAACATTTTCCCCTTCTTCAAGTTGTCCAGCTCTTGTAGGACAACCCAAGGAATTATTAATGCAAGTCTGCCAACCCCTGGAAGGAAAAAAAAAACCAAAACCCAAAGACATTTTGAAAAGCCACGCAAACTACTACAGTTAAAGTTTAATTCAAACACACTATTTATTTAAGCTCACACTTATCTTTTTTTGCCAGGAGTTTTCACATTCCATGCTCAAGAGTATCTAGCATTACAAAATGAACAACTGAAAAAGGCCAAGTTCCCTCTTTCTAATTTAACCTCAGCCTGACACTACATTGGTCACATGTAAAAATGACAATATTAGGCAAACAAAAGGAATAAACAATTTTAATCAACATGATACTTTGACAACAGTGTGCAGTGATGTAAAATAATTTGCAGCAATTAACATCCTATCACACACGCACTGTAAGATGTTAAAGCAAGGTGACAGCAGCTGAAAGAACAGGATGAAAATACCTGAATGACCACAACAGTCACTGTGCAAAACCAATTGCCAAATAAAAGGAGCAACGGTTTGTGCTAATTGCCACCCGGCATTTCTAAGCAAGGAACAGGAAGTATGGATATTGAACCATGGTTTTATTTGTATCTAAGTATGGTTTGAACTTTAAAAATACTATATATGAAATACATGGTAAATCAGAATTTTAATGACTGTTTTGTTGGTCCAAGCATGACAAATACTTCAATTTTTTTCTTTCCCATTCACATTATAAGAATACAATGTTGAAAAAATACATTAATAGCCATCTGCTTTGTAATAAGTAGGTCAGGAATCAGCAACCTTCTGAACCTTTTGCATAATGGGTCTGGTACTGGACCAGAAATTGGGAGCTGCAATATGCTAAAAAAGGCATCCCAGTGTACACAATGCAACACCATTCCTAATATGGGAATATGGGAAAGAGAAATACAGTCTGACACACTCTTGAAAATTACTCAGGCCCTTATTAAAATTATTCTCTCCAGGTGGCCAGAATAAGTGTATTCATTAGCTGAAAGCATCAAAGCACCCTAAGTATTCTGATAGATTCCAAATATGTCTACCAACAACTGACACGCATAATCCTAATCCTGCTAACATTAAATCACTAAAAGCTTCACAACATATTAAAGCCAAACATTAAAGCCAGGGTCTGAATTCCTGAGAAATTTGCTCACACACCTCGTGAATTCTGTGACCTTTACCAAGACGGAAATAAAGCACTGACTGCTTATCACATTTTAAATGTTTTAGATTTCTAGGAAAAAAAATGCTAAAAAGGGAGTAGAAAACATCATTAACACTAGTAATGGATTAAATGCTTAAAAGTATGTTCTCACAATAGGTAAGACTTATTTACCTCTAAGAATTCATGTGCATTCCTAAGAACGTTGACCATGAGTCTCTGTAGGCATGTAGGTATAAATATAGTAGGTTCTACTTTCATAGCTGGATTTTCCTTAAGAGGCAGTCTGTTTGGGTTCATAGAATCAGCCTCTTAATTATGAGTCTCCTGCTGTGAAACCTGCTGCCTTTTTAAGGAACCCAGGTTTGTTTTTCTTCACATAGCCTGCAGTTCTTACAACATCTGTTTTTTCTTAAAATGTCTTATTGATCACCATGCATTCACATACCTGGTATATCCTCAGATTTCAGAGATCTGACAAATTCAAGGTGACTAATCATTATATTTGTGTCAATCACCACTAATATGTTCAGACCAGAAGTAAAAGCCTCTGGGGGGAAACAAAACAAAACAAAAAACAAAACAGTTGTGAAAAAAAAAATCAGTTGCATATTTTCTACTCAGACCATTAACCAACGGTAATAACTAGTTGCAAGCAGATACCAAAGAACATCAAATCATGGCATACCAGCAGAAATACTTAAATCCTGTTCTGGAAGATCTATCTCCATACTTGTAAGTTCTCCATAAGTCTGTACTACAGACAGTGCCATCCTCTTCTGAACACGAGCAACATGCAAATCTTCAACTATCTGCATCTACAATTAAAAATTTTGCATGTGTGAAATCAACTGTAAGTGATCATTTATGAATTGTTCCTCAAAAAGATTAATTAAGAGCATTAATGCTGTTGTGTTAAAACTGACTAAAAACAATGCATGAAAAATTTTAAGTTTGTACAGCAAATGTAAAGCCATGAGAACTTTCTGCACATGTTCCACTCTAAGAAGTCCACAAAAGATGTCCAAAACACAGCCTAGAAGGAAGATTCATTTATGATATTTCTACCTGGTTCCCAAAAACTTTGTTCCATTTTTTGCTACATAGACTGCAAGTTTTTTGACAGGTACTTCTTAAAAAAAAAAAAAAAAGTGTCTTTTCCAACTTGAAAGATAAGAGGATGGAAAATGAGATAGCTAGAGTATGTAAGCAACTATGAAGGACCTCTACGTTGCAGATAATAACAGAACAGCAATCTTTATCTCAGGAAGTTCCTGATTAGCAGTACTTTAGCAAGCTTGTTTACTGTTTGAAAAAAATGCTCCATGTTTTTTGAAGCATAGATCATAAGCCAACAATGAGAAATACTAGGAAAGGTCATGGAATTGTCCATCTACACAACCTCGGTGCCATGAATTTTTAATACAACTTAGAAGCATTTAATTAAAGCGTTACTAACCTCTTGGTCTGTTTCGGGGTTCTGACTGTCTTGAAGGGGTGGAAAGACTTCAAAGCTCTGTAGGAAGAATTAAAAAAAAACCCCACATCAACACCACAAAATATCAAAGAAGACTGAGGAACAACTGATCCCCATGTCAAGAGTTTCGGAATAAAGCTCTTTAGTGTTAATCAAGTACATCACTAACCTTTTGGACAGACTTTATATCCTCATCTTCTTGGTAGGAGTCAGACATGCATGGGACCTCAGAATTCTAGAAACAAGTAGGAACGTAAGTAGAACACGCATCAGTCTTTTAAACACTGAATATTCCCAAGCAAACTGAACAGGTAACACAAAACACATTTTCAATATCCATGATGAAGCATCTAGAGCATCATTTCAAAAGGGCTTAGAGGGATGGCTTTCTTTTAAAATAAATTTAGCGGTTTACACAGTAAGCCTATTCTCCCAATCTTTTGTGGGTTTGTGACTATGTTAATTCTTGCTATAGGCTTCCCAGTACAAGACAGACATTAATTTAATGGAGTCAGTTTAGCAAAGGGTCACTAAAATTATTAAAGGACTGGGGCATGTCATAAAAGAGGCTGAAAGAGCTGGGACTGTTTGGCCTGGAAAAGAGAAGGGGGAATATTATCAATTTTTATAAATATCTGATGGGAAGGTATAAAGAATATGGAACCAGACTCTTAGCAGTGCCCACTGCCAAGACAAGAGGCAATGGGCACAAACTGAACCACAGCAAATTCCATTTGAACATAAACGCCCCCACTTTTTTACAGGCTACCCAGAGAGGCTGTAGAGTCTCCATCCTTAGAGATATACAAAACTTGACTGGACACAGTCCTAGGCAACCTGCTTAGCTGACCCTGCTTGAGCAAGAGGGCTGGACTAGGTGATCTCCAGAGGTGCCTTCCAACCTCAACAATTCCATGATTCCGTATGTAATTACTATCTTTGTGTGATCACGCTACCATAACATGAACTGAAATCATGTTGCTAGGCATGTTAATGAGAACAACAAAAAAGTAACCACACTCAAGATAAAGTTGAGGTGCAGAGCCAAACACAAGCTAGAACTTAGAAATAAACCAATTACAGCCAAATGTGAAGTTCTGCAGGGAACGGACTAAATTTAGTCCTAGATCTACAACAAGTTCTCCTGGCATCACACCTGTTAAGCAAATTTCCATTGGTTCAGTTTATTCATTCAAAAAATGATACAACTATGTCAGCTCAAAAAAAATGCTGTTGACTTATACCTAAATTGAAGTATTCCACACCCCCAGCAGCAAAGTAAAGCTATGAAAGCATTTGTGCAGACACAGTCCTAATACGCAGGACCTTTATTCTTCTAGTTTGTTTAACTATTTAGCAGAGCAGAGAAACATTTTAACATGGTTTACATTGGAATAAAAAAAAAAATCCACCTGGTTAGCTATGAAATCCTGTTTGAAATCTGTAAGAAGACAGTCTATTTATACAAAAACTGCCTGCCCCTCAGAAACTAGCCTGAAAAGTCTACCTGCATAATACAAAGAATTTAGATCTCATTACCTGCTTAAAACATAATGCTGCAGCTTCAAAGTCCCTTTCTTCAGTCCCTGAATTACCAGAAGCTTTATCAGAATCAGCATCCTGATTTTTTTGTTTACAATAGCCCCACTGTTGTGTTTCAGGTGAATAGCGTGATGGTGTGCATTTATGCGCATGCCGTTTTTTCTTAGAAAATGCCTTGTATTTTTCTTCATATTCTTCTTCCCAAGTCCTAGATAGTGTATTTGACTTCTTAGTGAAAGGCCTACCATCATGCACAGCCCCTGCAGAGGTGTCAGATGGCTTTTTTGGAATTCTGGCATCTTCACTCCATTTTTTTGATCCAGCTGCCTTTTTATGTGGTACATGTGAACCGCACACAGATGACTTAGATTTTTCCAACACAGTTCGTTCTGCTTTTAACTTTAGTTTGCAGAATTCGTGTTTCTCTGCCTTTTTCTTTGCCACCTTGTTCCTCTGAATTGCAAAGGTAGGCCACAGTCTTTTTCCTTCTGTTCCATCAAAATTACTTTTGTTATGACTTTCCCTGCTAGTAGTCACAATATCAGGAGTGCATGTACTTTTTCCATGTTTAATTTCTTTGGCTTTAAATTGGATAACTATTTTATTTTGCTTTTCAGATTGGATTAAAGAATTGTCTGTGGTTTTGCTCCTATTTGGAGATTTTCCTTGGGATCTTCCATCAGCACCACGAGGAATATTGGAACTTTGGTCTTGCTTCTTCTCTTGCCCATCTTTGTCTATTTTGACTCTATAGAAACAATAAGAAAAAAGTAATGGAATCTAGGTCAGTTAGTGTAAAAAAAAAAAAAAGCCCTGCACTTGATTTAGGCAGTTGCACCTAAGTATTTATGAATTCCAGTTTGGTAGGTTCTTAAGTATGAACTTGGAGCAACATCAGTCCTTTAAAATAGTTTGATACAGCATTTTTAGTATTTACATTTCTCCTAGCTGTACAGCTATTTTAGATTAAAAAACTGAGAAAAAGCTTTTTCTGCATTCACTATCTATTGGTTTGAGAGATGCCCCTACAAAGTCTAGTTTTATCTTATCACACAGATAAGTTTCAACAGCAGTTTAATGATATATGAGGTGTGTCACCCTAAAATTTGAGTGTGCAGCAGTTCAGCTTGTTCACACAGTGCCAAACACCGCACAGCTTTCAAACACTGCAGGATAAACAGACTGGAGAACTTGGAAAAGGGACGATGTATGGGACTATAGTAACATTCTACAGAAATCATAAGTTATATGAAAACTGAAAAGGAAACTTTCTTATTAGAGTAAATACCCAACAAATTTAAATACACTAGGTTTAAAATATCCAAAGAAAAGGAAACTTTCTTATTAGAGTAAATACCCAAATTTAAATACACTAGGTTTAAAATAAAAGTTTCTACCCTAATCTATAATAGTGTTGTCAAAAATGTTGGGGAGGTAAAGGCCATTTGACAAACTCATGTAGGACAGGTAACTTAAATGTATTGATTGGCATCCAGCTTCTGACTTAGGAGACCCCTAACTGGTTCTTAGAAGCTGGAAGGGTGTACAACAGGAAAAATAATTTTGTACTTGTCTTGTTTCCCATATTCTTTCCCATGCAAGCCCAACTGGCCACTGTCAGGGACGGGGTACTAGACTGGACAGAGTTTTGGCATGAACATCGTTACTGTTTTATGTACATCATACTGTACTAATAAACAGTGCTTAACAGCACACACACATGCAGCTAAATATCCTACGACTTGCAACTCCAGTCCAACAGAGGAACTGCAACAAGATTTTGCCATGATGAAGAAACAACCCAGAGCTTTTCCATCTCAGGACTCATGAGAATATTCTCACTTTCTATGAAGTAGTTTTCAAACACTGTTTACATTTGCTGCACTCAAGGTGAAAGTTTGCTTTCTTTGCCTTGGAATCAGTTACTTCAAGTATAAGGAGAAATCAATGATTTCAGGACCACAGAAATCTACTAAAGGTACTAATTTCACTGCAGAACTATCCCCCAGACTTCACTGGAGGTTAGAATCCACTCATTAATGCAATGCCAACACTTCATCAGTTACAATATCATATTTTATTTGAACAAGTCAAACTAAATTAATAAATTCAGTATTTAAACAAAGTCTGTGATTGTTTTATTTTTAAGTAGATCCATTTAATGACAGAGCAAGAATTTACCTCTGAAGTTCTGTTTCTCCTTTCATAGTATGTTTATAGGATCTTGTGTCTTCAGAGTTCTGAAAGAAGGAAAAAATCCAAAGTCTTAGAGATGAAACTACAGTTAAAAACAAACCTTCATAAGATGGAACAAGCTATTATTTCACACTAGATTCACTACAATTTTGAGTAAGTTAACCTTGAAAAAGGCACCCACATACCTTGCTGTAATCTAATATTTAGATTGTATTGTATTTGAGAACACCACAAGGGGAAAAACTGAATGTGGCACACAGTCCCGGATTATAATAGAGAAAGCTCAACTAATAAAACACATTTAGGATTCATGTGTTTCATATACTTCACAAGTACAGCAGTATGTAAAAATACACATTTTTGTATATTTATAAAAATTCTTAGGGAAAAGAAAGTTACCTGAAGACTGCTTCCAACTACCCCCTAGTTAAGGCCAAAGAGAGGACACTCCTATGGGATGTTTTTGTGCAAAAGAGATGTGTTATTAATTCTCATCTGATTTGCTAATTAGGTGGAACAGTGTGAAACTGCGTGAAACTGCTTTTACATAGACCCAGTTAAGAGTAAAGATAGTCCCCAAACAAAGAACTTGAACAGTTGTTGTTTAGAAAGCAGTTATATATCGCTGCTTGGCACATCTATATTGCCAGCTGCATCGCATTCATGTTGTGGAATAACTGGAAGGCGACTGATCAGGTCAGAACAGAAAGCAGTTTATTATTGCACCCGTGGGAGAGAACAGAGAGCAGCAAAATGACAGACTCTGATAATATGAACTCTGCCCAAGAGGGCAGTTAATTTTTATATACCTTTGGGTTATATGACTCAGTTTTCCCAAAACTACAGCAGGCTGTAAGAAATGACAACAGAGAAGGGCAACATATGGATTACTTCAGATAAGGAAGCTCCAGACAGTACATCTTTTCACAAATAATTCACTCCTTCAATAACTGGGTCTTGCTGACTCAGTGAGGCCATTAGGTCACTGCTGTAGAGATTTTCCTAACTAGAGAGGCCTGCAAAGGCCTATGAGGCCTTAGCTATTTTACGTCCACATTAGAAAGCACTTCATTAAAAAAATAAAAGGGTTCAGAAACCAGTGGAATCCTAACAAATTAAGGAAATTGAGAACTTCTGCCTGTGGTTGGTTTTGGAGTTCTAACAGCAGCAAAACCTACGAAATTGTAACAAAGGAGGCTGTTAAAGGCTGCTGCCACTGAGAATCATATCAATGCAACTTGCTGCCGGAAGACCTGTTCGACTCATGTGATTATCATCAAATAGGAATCGAAGTGTTTTATTAGTTTATTAACAACTCAATTAACTGACAACCAGTGGACTACACACTCAGGATCAATACTAGCAATACAACAGAAAAACTAAAATAACAGACAATTACAAAGTCATACCAGATCAGGTGACTTGGTACCAGAAAGTTTGAAATCTCACATACCTACTGTCATGCCCCATTCCCAAGCAGTGCAAGCGGGGAAACAGCAATTATCTCCTCCCTTACGGCAAATCGCTTCACTGAGATTTGTCAGGCAAGTTAGACAGAGGATCGGAGCTTGCTTGCTGCACTGACTCAAGCAAAGGTCAGGCGAGTGTAGCTTATAGCAGCATTTCAATACTTTATTGCACTTCATATTCTAATAGCATATACTCTTGAACATGCTCATTATTAATATATGGCGTATAGCACACTTGCTAGCTGCTAGAAGTTTTCCCCGTGTCCACCGCTGGCCAATCAGTAACAGTGGTCACGCCTCTGGGATAACATATTTAAGAAGGAAAAAAACCCTGCTGTGACACAGTAGCCGGAGAGAGAAGGGAAAACTTCTAGCAGCTTCTCACAGAAGCCATCCCTGTAGCCCCCCCATTCCAAGGTCAGTGAAGAAGGAGGGGGAGGAGGTGCTCCAGGCACTGGAGCAGAGATTCCCCTGCAGCCCGTGGTGAAGACCATGGTGAGGCCGGCTGTCCTCCTGCAGCCCATGGAGGCCCACAGTGGAGCAGATATCCACCTGTAGCCCAAGGAGGACCCCACACTGGAGCAGGTGGATGCCCAAAGGAAGGAGGCCATGACCCTGCGGGAAGCCTGCGCCAGATCGGGTTCCTGGCAAGACTTTGTGGACCTGTGGGGGAGCCCATGCTGAGGCATGTTTGCTGACAGGATTCGTGACCGCACAGGGGACACACGCTGGAGCAGTCTGCTCCTGAGGGACTGCACCCCGTGGGAGGGATGGACCCACGCTGGCTGAAACAGTTCATGAAGAACTGTAGCCCAAGGGAAGGACTCATGTTGGCAGAGTTTGTGGACTGTCTCCCATGAGAGGGACCCCACACTGGAGCAGGGGAAGAGTCCTCTCCCGAGGAAGAAGTGGCAGAGATAACATGTGATGAACTGACCCCAACCCCCATTCCCGTCCCCCGGTGCCGCTGGGGGAGAGGTAGGTAGAAAAAAAACTGGGAGTGAAGTTGAGCCTGGGAAAAAGGGAGGGGTGGGGGGAAGGTGTTTTAAGATTCAGCAGTTTTTATCCTCTCCTACTCTGATTTGGTTGGTAATAAATTAAATTAATTTCATCAAGTTGAGTCTGGTTTGCCCATGATGGTAACCAGCGAATGATCTCTCCCTGTCCTTATCTCAACCTATGAGCCTTTTGATCTATTTTTCTCTCCCCTGTCCAGTTAAAGAGGGGAGTGACAGAGCAGCTTTGGTGGGCCCCTGACCCCTAGCATCCAGCCAAGGTCAAACCACCACACCCCCACACAATCATGCCTAAATAAGACTACTGAAATAGCTTGCTCTCACCTGCAAGAGCTGAAGAAACCACTTATCCATACTGTAATCACACTGAAGAAACACTTGCTAGTATTCAGATATTTCCTTATCTTTTTGCTATTATTCGTTTGGGTTTTCACTGTTGCTTGTGCTGGTCAATGTCTGCACATAGTGATATTTAATGCTGTCTCAAACAGATTGAAGTCATGCAACAGTTGAAACTCTACTCTTCAAACTGGTATAGGCATTAGCAATGCCAATATAGTTATAGTATGAGGTTTTAAGCCAAGTTTTTACCCTTTGTATTACAGAAGTAAAAAAGAAATCCCACCTTAGGTTAAGTTAGCCTTAAAAGACAAATTGAATAATAATTAATTCAGGAGGAAAAAAACCCAGTTACAAATGCTTGGCTTGGAACAACATCTTCCACATGCACAAAAGGCTTCTAACACGTTTAACTTAGTTTATAAGGCCATAATATCACGCTCATTTATAAACACTTCCAAACTTTTTTTTTTTGATACATTTATGACAATACAATTAAAAAGCTCTCTTATTTCATATATACCTTACAAAATCCAAAGGAAAAAATCTGGCAAACTTAAGTGTGGATTTACTAAACTACTGATTTATTGGATATGTATTATGCTACTGGCAGGAAATAACTTCCCAGAATGGGACACAAACAATAAAAAAGAATGGGAAGCTACATACAAACATGACCAGAAATATTATCACCCCTATAACACCTGCATTTTACAAGCAATTCAGTGAAAGCTTACTCACTCGATACAAATACGTACCAGAGTATGCTAAGAATTTTGGTCACTGATTTATGTCTCAGTGGTTAGAAGGAAGTATCGGAGCATTGCTTGCTAAAATGTTGCAAAGTACAATCCAGGAAAATGGCAGTGGGTTTGGTAACAATTTTAAGCTCAACTTTCCTCAGCCAGGAAGACATACTGGAATAAAAAAATTCTCTGATTTTCTGATACCCACACTACTCAGCCTCCAGATAAAACCATAAGCTAGTTATCTGGCTAGAACTTGCAGTTATCTGACCAATTCAACCCTCCTGCTGTTCTTAATGACCTCACCTTTAGATTTGATTCATCCCTCTATCACAAGACTGCTAAACAATTCGGGCCCTTCTCTTGAATATGGAGGGTTGAATTAAAATAACGATAATAGTAGTAATACAGCTGTTCCTACTTTGTCATCCCAGCCATGCAAACAGTCTTCATTTCCAGCTAATTTCTTCCGTTTCGCTTTAGACATCTTCAAATCCTAAGAAAACAGTGTTGCCGTTATTATTTATTTCAAGTGTTTACTTCCTGCTGGTATAAAAAAATAGATTTTAACTGCATAGAGAAAAAAATACTCTAATACTGTTGTTTTCTCCTTACAGAGCCACAGCAGATTTCAACAGGGTTAATCATTCGCATCTCACTAGTAAGAGAACCTCACAGAAAAATGGATGGCAATTACTTTACCACCTGCTCCAGAGATGCATATTATGTACAAGCAAACATACCAAACTAATAGAGGCAAACATCCTTTAACATTTAGTCATACAAGTTTTAAAGCAGTTCCAACTACGTAACTCTCACCTTAGGCCAACCCCTACCCTTCCCCTGGGGTGGAGGCAGTATCGCGACATCTCGCAACAGGTACACCACCCTCTACACGAATTAGTCCTGCGAGGCTGCCACGAACAAGAAGTTTAAGAGGGCTGTAGGAAAGCTTCACCAGAAGCCCCCAAAGCTCTAGAGGTGAATTTCCAGAGCACAGGTCAACAACGCGAACAGATAAACCACAGAAGTAGCTCCGCCATAAAGCAAGGAAGGCTGAGTGAACACACTGCTCTTTAAGGCGGCCTTCAACATGGGCGGGCCGAAGTGACTGCAGGAAGAGCTGCGCCTCGAGCTAGGGGAGAACAGCCTCCCGCCCCCAAACCCCAGGCGTGAGGGAAGGGCAAGGACAGGGTGAGCCCCCGGCCTCCCCCCG